CGTCCACTCTTGAAAAGATATGCGGAGCTTGAACAGAAGGTGATCTACAACCCAACCTCCTCTTGTCACACAAAATAACAAGCAAACAAAAGTTATGAGTTGGCTGCAGAGTGGACTCCCAAAGAGATCAGAAGAGATTTGCTCAGAATTTAGTGGAGTTCTTTAAATCATTTTGTTCCTCTTTGTAGACAAATCATTGTTAAATGGCTGAGTTTCAGTATGTTGATGGAAAAAGTTGCACTATGATTGAAAACCTAATTAAAAAAAAAAATCATTGTTCTGTGTGTTTGTGACTTCAGGTTTTTTCCATACTTTTCACATGGTATTTGCTGATTAGGAATATCTGGATGAGCGCATGAAGTCCATTGTATATGAGCTTTGATTCCACATGTTCAGTGCTGTGGGCTCTCTACATGCCCACGCAGTACAGTATCTTCATTCCATGACCTCTTTTCCCAGTGTATTTCGAAATTATCTTTCTACACATCTATAATTTATCTCCTCTTTGCTTACATAACACCAACAGAAAGCATGAACATATTCATGTCCATCTGATGGAAGTCTTTGAACATTCACTGGGATCCTCACAGAAGGGAAATTCTTGTTTCATGATGCTATGGAAAATCTGCTGTGGGATAAAGCATGATGTTGGATTTTATAAATTGTGGAAATTGCAAAGGCAAAACATTGAATTTACCCTGTGAGATGCAGGTCTGGTTGCTCAATGTTTTATTTGATGTTAGCTTTGAAAAGATGAAAATAAGGGTCAAATGTGGAAAGTTTTTACATGTTTTCACATTTTCATTCAATTTCATAAAGAGTCCATTCCATCTGCACGCTTGTTTGGGGTTATGCTGCTTTCTTTTCCTCCTTCAGGAGTCATGGCCATAAAGTTGTTTGTTTCATGCTGAGTGTGAGTGCAGAAATAGGACTCCCTAATAGGGCATGAAGGTCACTGTTTTTCTTTATACCACCAATATATCATTTCTTTCTTGGGGATGCTGAGCAGAACTGGTGGCTGTCTTGTCCTGATGCTACTCCTCAGTCCTAAGGAAAGTCCTTGAAAAAAATACAGCCCCAGACACCTTCCTGCAGGGAGGTATGGAAGTCACAGAATTTCAGTGAAGAACCTGCATCACCCTGTGCAAGTGGGAACAGTTTATGGCACTATTTTACAGTGCCAGTATTTTTCCCTTAGGATAAAATTTCTTCTATGAATACAGTGTGTTAATGAAAGACTTTCTGAAGCCTTTCTTCAGTTCTTGTGGAAGTTGTAGTGTGCTTTGGGAATACATCAGGGTGTTGTAGGGAGTAGAGGATCTGTTTGTGGAGTACTGTGAGGTGTTGGAACAGGCTGACCAGCGAGGTGGTGGAGTCACCATCCCTGGAGGGTAAATGTAGCACTGAGTGACGTGGTTTAATGGTGGTGGTGGTGTTGGGGTGACAGTTGAAGTTAGTGCTCTTAGTGGTCTTTCCAACCTTTATGATTCTATGACTTGAGAATTGGGCTATGTCCCTGCTGGAGGCAGGTGACTCAGGTTCCTGCTCTTCACGTTACAGCAGTTCAGGAGTGCTCTGTGTCCCTGCTGCATTGCTGCAGTGAGTGGTACCTCCTGGCAATGACTTGCCCTGCATGTGGTGGAGGGTGGGCACATTCTTTCTTTGCTCCCCTTTCTATTGAAGCACCTCATTGTGAGCACTAATGGTGCCATTCCTGTTCATGACTCAGTAATTCTAGCTTCTTTTGATATTGGCAAGATTACTCAGCAAGGTGAAGAATTACCTTTCTGAGTTTCTGAAGTGAGTTTCTTTTAAGCAATTCCTTTAAGAGGTGGCATTGTAAATACACATCTCTTTTATGTGCTTATTATTTCTGGGTCCTAAGGTACAGTGCTAAAGCATATAACACTTCTCACAGGCGTCCACCTTCAGCAGTTGCTTTGTCATTGAGCAAAGCTGTAGGTAAGTTATGAAAAACGTGTTAATGTGAGTTAAGCAATGCCTACTGGTTTGTCATCAGTAGTCATTAACCATGCCTGGTGACCAGTTTGTCATCAGGGTTAAACCTGAGAGTGAAAAGGTTCAGAGATGTTTGCTCAGTTTTGACAACAGTTTCTTCAGTTGGCTCACTGGAGTGAGAAGACTGATACCTCATGTGGCACTGTGGCTTTGCCCTTGAATTGGGACATTCAGCTCGACTCCCAGTTAGCTGAAGAAACTTAAGGCTCATGTTCTCCATCACAGGACTGTAAGACATAGGGGCTTTTTTTTAAGGATTGTTTTTTATAGATTATTGGCTCTTGACAGTGTTGTTAATGGTGTACAGTCCATGTGGTTTAGCAGTTCTCTGGGCCTGAGCTCTTTGTGTTCAAGGCTGCATTGCATAGTGGCCACATGTGTCCATTTCCTGACATGTTAAGTCATGTTGGGCTGGGATGGGGCTCTCTGATGTGTCCCATGTTAACATTAACTGCTGTTTCCTCACAGTAGCTGATGCACTCTCTGCTTACTGCAGGAGTCCCTTGAAAAGATGCAGATGCCAGACCCTGAAAGGCCAGGAGCTGAGCACCACTGACTTATAGTATTGTTGTGGTGATGGGTTTATTAGGGCTGGCCTCTGAGGAATGTTGTCTGGAGTATGAGAATTTATAGACAAGCTCTTTTTTTCCCTGGCTCACCAAAGTTGCACATGTTCACTGACTAGTGTCAGACAGAATAAGGCTCAATAAATCTCCCTCTAGAAAAGTCTTTTGAGAAGATGCTGCTATAAGAGTTCTACCACTCTTTTCTTTTTTGTAATATCTAAGGATGCCCGTTAGCCTGCCAAGGAACTGTGTGCACATCTCTTTAATGAAGACCCCAATGATGGAAAGCTCTGGGGTGCTTTGGTTTCCAAAAGTATTTTTTTCCCGAAGTGTTTTTGGGTTGTTTTGCCTTGTTTTGCTGGTTTGTCTAGCGATGTTGTTCTGGCTGTTTGGAGTAAAGACGTTACGGTGCTAATTAAAATCCTAGCTAACAAATCTGAAGGCAAGCCAATATTCTCTACCTCCACTAGATAAAGGTTGATTCCCTCTTTCCTCATTAGTACCTTGCTGTACTCCAAGTCTAGCAGCAAAGTGTCCCCACTTTGTTCAGAGGAAAGGTCATTTTCTGTATTTGAAGACCTGCTGAGCTATTCCCAGTCTGAACTAATGTACTGGAACCTGTATGGAAAATTGATCTTGTCTCCTGGAAAAAAAAAAACTTGATTGTTACGAGGAAATTGTTCACTGCTGAACTGATCCACAGCTCCCATCTTACACCAGCAAAGCCACTTGAGGTGGCATATGAGTCATGGAACTATGTGGCAAAACCCAGGCAGCATCCTTAGCTCATGGCCCCGTGCCCTCTCCAGTCAGTCAGTTGCACAGACTCACCTATGAGCTCTTGGTGTTCCAGGACCCAAAGACAAACAGTTTTCTTTGCAGCCTGAAGTCTTTAAAGTCTTTTGTGTTACAGCGGGGAGCAAACAGGAAAAGATGTTTGTTTTTCCTTATGGGATCAGTCTGAGGGAGCTGGAGCTCTGAGTGAATAAGTAATGTACTGAAAAAAGTCCACGCTCTGACAGTGCTTTAATAAGTAATTGAACTGAACACCACGGTGTGTGATCCCAGTGGGACCTTTTTTGTTGTTTTTTCAGCTTTCTTTTCCTTTGGAGTTGTGGCTGCCACTACAGATCACAGCAGCACAGTGAATGTATCTAAAGCTGCAAAAAGCCAATGCAAAATTTGTTCGTATTTCCATTACTGTCATCCCCAGCCTTCTGTATTCAGGTTAGCAGGTGGGGAAGAAAAGCATAATTGCTATAGAGAACTACAAATTTTGCTTTTTCCTTATCTCAGCCACTGACATTTTTTTCATCTAGCCATTTGGATTTGGATTTTGTTGAGATCTTTGGGTTGAAATTGGCCGGCAGTTAACAGTATGGCCGAGGATGATTCACAGCTGGGTAGCCATTCCCTCAGCCACCAGGGGATCACTGTATCACTGTCCCACCTGGGATGTTTCCTTAGGCACTTCACTAGAAGAGACTGTAGTCCTGATCCTACATAGCTGGAAGTTTTTGTACAGTTCACACATAAAACATAAAACACATGCACATATAAACCTCCGCCAAAGAATCTGATCTTGTTGTTACTTTATGTTCCTTTTGTGCAGGTTTGTGCAATTAAAACATGATGTATCAGGCAGAAAGAATTTGGGATTAAATACTTAGGCAACCAGCTTCTTTCTGAGCATGGCTCTGAAGGGTGCGAATATGACATTTTGACACCTTTCACATCTTTGACATCTTTAACAATTTAACGTGGATGTTCAGCACAGCTCCAGCCCCTGCTCACTCTGTGCTTTGATTACAGCTCAGATCCAGGCTCTTTGGTTAGCCTGGTCAAGTGGCTTAGCTTTCAGCCTTCAAAGCTTGCACTATGAGAATGTAAGATTTTTAGAACTTTTTCTCTGCAACTCTTCTTCTTATCTTGGAAGCGGGTACGACCTTTTCTTTCACAAAGTTCACCTGGTTGGCTGTTTCCACTTCTGTGGGATGCCAAGAACTTCCCATACACGATACTTAGAGTGAGTGTATCTCCTGCTGAAATTTGACCCCAAGACTTTTCATTTGTTTGTCCTTTTCCCCTGTTGCTTCTTAGAGTTGGTTTTGACAAACAGAAGGATACTGCTGCGGTGATCACAGCCCCCTGAGGATGTCTCGGCCATTGTGGGAACACAGTGATTTCTCAAAGTGTTCTTGAAGAACAGAACCTAAAGAGTAAGGATGAAGGAGCACTTTTGGTTGCACATGGATTCTGCTGTGATCTCTCGTTTCAGGTTTTGACTGGGTTTCCTCATCTCTTGATGCTTCGCCCTGCCCATCAGAACAACTGAGGGTAATGACTGCATATGCTTTTCTTGCTCTAAGACCTTTCTTTGGATGACAGGTATTTTTTCTATTTTTCTTTGTTTAGGTGCTGCTATCAACTCTGCTTTTATTGAGTACACTGTGTCTTAGTACTCTGCAATGTACCCATCTGGTTATCCTTTCTTTTACTCAGTATCCAATCAATTAGAAGTCCTTCGTTACCTTCAGTGTGGGATTCATTCGACCAGTGTAGAAATCTGTCTCCTACAATACGAACTAAGGAACAGAAAGAAAAGGAGTTCTTGGCTGCTGTTCATCTTATCCTGTGGCAGTTGTCTGCAACAGAGCAGGTGAGTTATCTCCTGAGTGAGCTTTCTCCCTGCTGAGTAGAAGGGCAATTGTACAGAGAGGAGAACAGAAAAAGTCAATTTTTCACATTGTGCCAAAACTCTCGAAGACTTCATTGAAACCTGATTTCAACTTTGGAGGGAAGAGTTGTCCCCAGTGGCCATTGCACAACTAGAAATTTGTCTTGTTCCAGCACAGCTCTGTTTTTTCTATCAAATCCATGTGATTGACCTCTCCTGCTCCCTTCAGATAGAACTCCTCATGCACCTCCATGGAGATATCCAGAAGACGTGGGTCAGGAGCTTTGTTGTATTTCTGCTTTTAGTCCTTTTGTTGCATGCCCTTGCTTGTGTTTATTCCTTCAGGCTGGACTCTTTCAGGCATTTGTATTATGCATCTAAGCTCAGTTCTCTGCTATAGAGAAAGGCAGTTCCCTTAAGACTTAGGCAAGCATTGCACAAGAAAACAAAGACCTGTTCAACTTGCTGTTGGGAGACAATATTTACTCTCTGACTGACATGTGTGCACTCCCTCATGAAACTTCAGTTCTGTTGCAGTACTGATGTATCGGAAGATGGAATTCTCCTTGAAAATAATCTAAACCATGTTGTAGAAAAGTAGGGCTTAGAGAAACAGAGCAGAAAACGAGCTATTTTATAGCTGAGGGCTTTTATCTTAATATAAAACACATTAGAGCAAACAAGTGAGAGGTAAAGGATTCTTACACCCTTTGGTGTCACAGCTTATGCCATCTGAGAACATCTCTTCACACTTGTGCCATAGCTTTGTTAGGATGGGACATTCTCCTGTCAATCCTGGTGTTCTGTTAGATTCCTACCCTAGATGACTCAACTTGAGGACACTTGCTTACAGCAGAAATACCCTTTTGATCAAGAAAGGTAACATTAAAAGGCAGTGATATGTTTTCCCCGTTTTCAGTTTCTCAGCAGAATTATTGTGGTACCTGCTGTTGTTTCTTAGAAGAAATCCCTACTCCAGCAGAGGGAAAAAGAAGACTTTGAATGTAGCTAATCCAGCACGCGTTTTAGTCATCACAGAATTGTTTGAGTTGGAAGGGACATTTAAAGATCATCTGTCCAGCTCTTCTGCAATGTACAGGGACATCTACAACTCAGTCAGGCAGTTGTGTGAGTGAATAAGCAAATAAACTACATTCCAAGATTTCCCTTTTTTCCTCTGAGTAACTCTTGGCTCAGGAGACATATCCGTGGTGTTTTATTTGATTCCTTCTCACCATATTTGCAGTGTGGAAGACTCTCTCCCCAAGGTCTTTCCACAAAGGCTTGTTTTGCTATTAGCCCAGTGGAACGTAGGTTTTCCACTTTGATCTGTACTGTGTGTGGTTTTGGCATGATTCTTAAATGGACTGATTAAATAACTGCTGCTAACAGCTTCCTCTGCCTTCAGGAGTCAGCTTCCATTGTTCAGGGGCTTTCCATAGCAAAAGGGAAGAGATAGCACTGGTGGTAAGTGCTTGCATTAAAGGCTAGAAGAAATGTCAGAAAACTCTTTCCCATTCCTCTTGGTCCAAAAACATTGCAGTAACTCAGTCACTAGATAAGCAGTGTTGGATTGTTCATAGCGTGAGTGTTTTGAGCAAAAGGGATGGATGCCTGTATGCTGATGCTGAGCCAGATTGTCTAGATGAGAAATCACTGAGCTGAGACTGGCTTGGTAATTTACATCTAGTTCTGTGTTTTATATATCAAAGTCTGTGTTTTGCAGTTTACACTCTGAATCTTTAAATGAAGAAATAAATTAAATTTCTCAGATGAATGAGAATGGTGCATTTAGAGGGAGAGGGAGAATACACTGACACTTGGGAGCTGCTCAGGGAGGAGACCCAATACTCAAGCTCCCCTTTTCTGGCATGAAGCATCTTTTCTTTCTAAAGTGTTCCAGGCCCCCAGGAAATATGGGAACTGATCCCTCCCTGAGCCTCCTTCAGCCTACTGAAGATGTATTGGGCATTTGGTCAAACCCATCAGGCAGTGGTGGCAGCCAGAATTCCCCATGATGTGCCATCATGCCAAGGCTGGTGTCCAAGAAGCTCCTTAGTTCAGCATGGGGCAGTCTGATGAGGCTGAGCCCATAAATATGTCGTGGCCATGGCATGGTCAGTGTTGTCCTTGAACTTCTCTTTATGCCTTTCTAGTGGAGAGAGGAACATTGCTTTCTGTGAGGCACTGGTGAGCCCCATCAGGTAGGACCTTTGCAAACATCCTCTCTTGTTGTCAAGACAGAATTTAAACTGGTACAGATGAGGAAAGAGGGCTGATACGTCAGTGAGGGGAATAGAAATGCTGTCCTAGGAGAGGAGACTAAAAGCTTGGCTTTGTTTGCCTAGCAAGTGGAAGCTGAGAAGTGATACCATTGCTCAGTATAAATCCTTCAGGCGGGGGGTAAAGAGCAGAAGAGCTGCTCAAGCCAAAGGACAGTGTTGGCACGCAAGCAAATGACACACACTGAATGGGAGTAAATTTAAACAGGAAATTAGGAGGGAGGTGGAGGTGCTGAAGGACCTCCTGTCCCCTGCGTGCGGTGCCAGGAACATCGAGCCACGTACTTGCAGCATGACGTGTGGCAGGGCTGTAGCACCATGTCAGAAATCCTCTGCTCACTGAGAAAGCTGCATTGAGTACTGACCTTGAGAGAAGCTGTTGTTTGCCACGTGGCCAGAGCAGAGTTTCACACTTGACCTCTTTTGAATTTCCTCCTTAACTGTGTTTGATTTGTAGGAAGCAACGAGTATGGTAGGGACAAATAAATTGAAAAGTTCCAGCTCTACTTCTTAACACTGGGACACGTAATAGCTCGATTTGCTATCAGTTTGCTGGGCTAGTCCTCTACAAGCAAGAGGAATTTGCCCCCCGGCAATTTTTCTTCACTAGAATCCTGCAAAAGGAAGTGAGGTTTAATTAGCATTTTAAAGTGGACAGCCTTGAAGTTAATGATATTCAATAAAGAAAAATTGTTTTAACCTTATTTGCACTTTTCAATTTACTTATTAGAGGCCATCTGTTATATTTTAAGCAAGAGCACTGGGAGCTAAACTCTCAGATTGTCAAAGGAGGCTAAGCAGAAGGGAAAGAGCAGGCTGCCTTAAATGAGCAATTAGACTGCTTTTCTTAAATTTCTCATTTTTGTGTCGAAAAGCAAACGGTCACCATTTCAAGCAACAGTTATGTTGCTCTAATGACATCTATTTCTACAGGTACTCATCAGCCCTGGGAAATGTCACTTGTCCTCAGATCTCAGATGAAATTAGAAAAGCCAGAAGTGAGGTGGAGCTGTTGAGAGAGTGAAGGCTAAGAATAAGGATTTCTGTAGGTAAGTCATTAGAAGAAGGAAAACATAGATTGGCATATACTGGTGTGCTGCTGAATTAGTTGGCCAACCTCGTAAAAAAAGAAGCATGGAAAGAGTGTGGTGCTCTTTGCTTTTGTCTTCATTAGCAAAGTCTGCTCTCAAGCATCTTTCTGTCTAAGTAATGTGTGGGGAAAACAAGTCCTACCCATAGTAGAAGAAGATCAGTTTAGAGGCTAGTGAAGCAAAATGGGCATACACAGGTGTGTGGGGCCAGGTGGAAATGTGTGAGTGTGCTGAGGAAGCTGGCTGAAATCATTCTGAGGCTACTCTATCATCTTTGAATGGCTGTGATGACAGTAGAAATTCCCTATTGACTGGAAAGAGGTAAATGTTACTCTCATCCTCAAACGAAAAGGAGATCCAAGGGAACTGCACACTGTTCAGCTCCTTCTCTGTCTCCAAGAAAGTTACAGAGCAAATCTTCCTGGGAGCCATTTCCGAGGACAAGAAGGAACCACTGAATATAGGGACCAGGTTTCCATTGACTATAATGGCAATTTGTGTCCTAAACTTTTCTGGCTTAAGGTTCAGCTGACTGCCAGTGTACCTCCAAGAAAGTGGATGATTCTGCCATCTTCCTGGGTGGAACAAATGCCTTTGGTAGGACAAAAGCCAAACTTTGCTCTGTGTGGTCTCATAAGCCTTACTTAAATTCTGAGTGCACTTAATCCCTCCTGGAAGGATGGGAAATAAAAACAAAATGTCTTCTCCAGGTCTATGTAAAAACCTGTGGGCGCCAGCAGAGCTGGTGCTGTGTGTCTGGATTTGACACTGAACATTCATGTGAGCAAACCTGCTGGATTATTAGATGTCCTGCTGTTCAGCTGAGCAGAGGCTCAAGATCCTGGTCTCTGTGGGATTTGTTAGCAGTGTCTGTAAGATCGCCATGCCCAAAATGGAATGGAATAATCCCTTCTGCAAATGAACACAAAATGGGATCAATGCCATGGGTCAATAACCTGTATCACAGCAGCAACACCTTAAATTGCACGAGTGGAAATCCTATGTGTCAGAGGACGTTTGAAGTCTGATTCCACAAATGTTTGCAAATGTAGATCTTAGCTTCACTTCTGTGGTTTGTCACACTGAAGTTAGACTGAAGTTAAATTTCAGTCGCTGAGATCTTGTGGGTTCCAAATTTGCAAGGAGCTGAACCCACCAGCTCCTGTTAGCTTCAGACTTGCTCTGAAATCACCTGTGTTTCTGTCCTGAGAGTCACAGCAAGAGAAGGGAGGAGAAATGTAAACCACAGCGCACTGATTCACAACAGCACTTGATCATTACAGCGAAACCCAACCAAACCAAGCCTACTATGAAGTACCTGTAGCAGCAAAATCCAGCTGCCAATGATTTTGCAGTACAGAACAGTCTTTGGTACCCTTAGTTTGCTGTCAGTGCCAAAGCCAAATTTGTACATAATGAAATAGCTTTTTAAAAACCTGGCTTTTTTGACTTTCCAAGCCTAAAAATGCTATTTTGTGTCCAGATCTATAGAGGGAAAAAAAAAAACACACAACTTGAGGTGACTTTTGTTTTAAGACTGTTTTAAATTTATAACAGAGCTGGCTAAAATGCTTTTCATCAAAGTACAAAAGTTTCATGCTGTAATTAA